AGCAGCGGATGTACAAAACTTCAAGAGAAAGGAAGAAGTAGTTCTAGTTGGGGACTTCAATTCAAGAATCGGGCGAACCACGAACCCACACGGAACCATAGGGCAATACGGGGAGGGAGCCACGAACAAAAACGGGGAAGAAATGCTGAGGTTCCTTGACAGTAGCGAGATGAAGGTGTTGAACGGTAGAGTACGAAAGACAGAACCGGAATGGACTAGGCAATGTTTCAAAAAAGGAGAACGCTCCATCCTTGACAATATAGTCGTAGAGAATGGGGGGAAAGAGACGGAAGTACGAGTATGCACAACGGATGTAGGCACTACAGACCACGCGTTGGTGTGGACAGCCCTACAACAGAAGAGAGTCATACAGAGTAGGCGACGCAGGAAAATGTACAGATGGAGAATAGATAAGCTAGAAGTAGAAGAAACGAGGGTAGAGTTCCAAGAAGAGATGGCTATAAACGACAAGAAACTCTCGGAGTTGATGGAGGCAATGGGTACACCGAAGGATGCCGAAGGCCGGGACCAGGCCGGGTCTAGAATCATAGAAGGGTGGGAAGAGCTGGTAAACACAACAGCAAGCAGAGTTCTAGGTAGAAAGTTGATAGTTTGTAAGAGAGCAGTGAAGTGGTGGGACGAAGAAATCAAGCAAGCAATTCGAGTACGTAGAGAGTCACACGCAAAATATGCGGCAGGGAAAACAGATGCAGGATGGAAGGAGTATGTTGAAAGTAGAAAGAGGGTGAAGGAGTTGGTCGTGAAGAAGAAGAAAGGGTTGTGGGAGGAAGTAGTCCAAAAGACTAACGAAGATTTTGAGGGGGGGATGAAGCAAATGTGGGTAGGAATTCAAGGGATAGTGGGCAACAAAAGAGGGGGAGACACGGAAATAACGACACTAAGATCTGCCGAGGGTAAGATGGTAAGCAGTTCTAAAGGAAAGAGGGAAGTACTAGTAGAGCACTACCGCAAACTTGGGACACCCACCACCAACGACAACTTCGACTCGGAGTTTGAGAAGGAAATCAACTCGTGGGCAGAAGAAAACGTTGAAAGATCTCAGAGGGAACGTAGTGATGTAGACGGGTTGCAGGGAGAGTTCACACGAGAAGAGGTAGAGGACTGCGTAGCGAAACTCAAGAATAGAAAAGCGGCAGGGGCTGATGGAATTGTGAACGAGCTTTTGAAACAGGGGGGGGAGGGGATGATTAACATGTTGGTCCGGATATTCAACTGGATATGGAAACACGAGTACGCGCCGAAGAGATGGAGAGAAGGAGTAGTCGTGAACCTGTTCAAAAAGGGGGATAAAGCTGACCCGGGGAATTATAGAGGGATAACCCTGTTGAGCACAGTGGGGAAACTGTTTGGCAAGACGATAGACAATAGAATGGGAGACATGTTGGAGGGGAAACAAAAGATCAGCGAAGGACAAGCTGGATTTAGACCAGATCGTAGTTGTGTAGACCATGTATATACGTTGAGTAAAATCATCCAAGGTAGGAAAGACGCCGGGCGTACGACATACTGTTTCTTCCTCGATATACAAAAAGCCTACGACACCGTATGGCGCAATGGATTGTGGAAAAAGATGTGGGACATCGGCATCCGGGGGAAAATGTGGAGGATGTTGAAAAAGATGACAGAGTGCACAAGAAGTGCGGTGATGTTGGATGGGGAAATTTCGAAGTACGTGGATATACTCCAAGGAGTCGCACAGGGCTGTACGATGTCACCCACTCTTTTTAAGATTTACATCAACGATTTGATAAGGGCGGTTGAAGCAGTAAGACAGGGAGTCCAAGTAGAGGGAAAGAGTGTGTCCGGACTGATGTTTGCAGATGATTTCGTGGGGGTATCCGAAACACCAGAAGGGTTGCAAGAACAAATAGATGCGGCGGTAGGATACACCCGAAAATGGAGACTGTCGGCGAACGTAGGAAAATGCGCAGTAATGGTCTGTAACGAAGATAAGAAAAATCCCGTACAATTCA